GTGTATATATATACATATATACGTGTTCACGTGTAAATTTTTACACGTGAAATTCGAATTGTAATAACAATTCTAAAATTCATATAGGATGCTATACTTGCATCTCGTATATGAGAGATCCCAAATACCCCCCTAATTGAAATTAAATTTATAGGCGTAACTCGGAACGCACCCCTAGAGTCCTGATCTCCGTTGCACGCACGGTTTGATAACCGTCACGTCCTTACCGTAGACCTTGGGTAACGCAAAGAACGGTAACGTAATAAACAAGAAAATGCAAAGTTTTGTTTTATGATCGTCATTTTCAATTAGAGAGTCGTAGCGACTCTTCTCAAAAACTGTTGTTTTCGTCTTTAAAAGTCCTTTCAAATGAGTTCCTATTCGACCTCTCGTGCCATTTAAGATTTTTAAGTTACTCTCGCTCCCTTATCTCAAAGGGATAAAAGGTAGGTGCCATCCTGATCAAAAGATAATTTTTGTGATCCTATCAAATCCCAAATTTCAACTTTCTATTTCAATCCGTTCAAAAGTTACGAGGGTGTATCCAAATTTTTGACTCTCCTTGTATAATCTTTTAGTTACTAATGCAACAGTAATATAACATTTTAATAACATCCCAGCAAACACAGAATATAACTGCTATATAACATAGAAGTAACAGCGTGATATACGTTATATAACAGCTGTTATACTCTATTAACATCAATGTTATGTAATTTTGTTTTATAAATGTAATATAATTATGTTATATATCTATTATATTGTTTGTTATTAGCTGGTAATGACATTATAACTTTTATATAACATTTCTGTAACTATATAACAATTATATTACATTCTACTTACATGTTATATTCATATTATATAACTGCAATATACGATAAGTAGGAAATTACAACTAACATAGATGTTACGTGCAACGACCATGTTATATTACATGTTACATTTGTTTTATTACGACAATGTTGCTATTATATATCTATGTTTGCTGGGATATTACCGTCATAATTCAATAGTATATAAATTGTGAGCTTTATTTTGCTGCAATTTCTTTCGTTTCGGGTGGTGTACGAGAGCGTCACACACACCTTCGGCACGTTCTTGGTTATAAAAATTTTCAAACGTATAATTAGGCGCCAGACGTGAAAATCACGCCGCACAATCGCACGTCAACAATATCTCGACATAATCACAAATTACTTTGGACATGGCAATCTCCCGCGAAAATACTCGGCAACTCAGATGCTGAAACGGAAAGGCTGGGGTTCGTGAGGCGGCTTTAGGCCCAGAGGAGAAAGAAACTCAGCTCAAGTATCAGGGACACAATTTGACAAAATATAATGTATTTAGACAATGGAAACACGTATTGCGGCGGTTTGCCTGTTTACACGGGCGCTAACAACGAGTCGGGATAGTCAGAGCTGGTCGACAGCACACGGCGGCGCACGACACTTGTACGACATTTTTGAGTGTTATTACTGCGTTTATTAATTCAGCAACTGCTACAAAAAGTGTAGCTGAATTATCAAAGTGATGAATGTATTGTACAATAATTGTCAGTGCATATTTCACAATTTTATTCACCAAAAATACGTGCACGCGTGCGTAAGAAAAACAAAACACGTAGAGCATGGTCTAGGTCAGGTGTCGACGAAGTATGTGTATAAGTATACAACAAGTTCTTCAGTTACTAATTAGTTCTATTAACTGCATCTTTCAAATATGACAAGAATTTTTTCCAGTGGAAATTTAGAACAACCAATAAAAGTGCTATCACGTTGCTGCTCGCACAGCTCAATGTTTTAACGTCATTCCGTTCTCTGATCGGAAAAAGCCCTCTCTGAAGTTCAATCCTTGAAAACTTACAGTTGCACAGTAATGCATTTTCTAAGACCGGCCCAGTGGTCTCGCGGCCTGAGTGCAGGGGCTGTGAACCCGGAGGTCCCGAGTTCGAATCCGCTCACCACCTGAGGATTTTTTCCGGGCCGGTCCCTTTCAACCGAGTTTATTGGTTGATCGGCGAACTTAATCGGACCTCCAATAATTAATTTGGGTGTATTCCCGAATTAATTCCCCTCCCACAAGGCGATCTTAGTCTTAACATCTAGAGCACGAGCCCGACACAGATGGGCACGCCCACTGTGAGAAGACGGCCGTGTATCGCGTGGTTGTAGTTCCCACTGCACATCCCCCCCCTCATATTCGTTCAGAGGAAAATAATCAAAGACTGGCCATGCCTAAACCCTTATAGGGGGCGAGTGCCATAATGACGAAGAAGAACATAACTAGTAATAATAATAAATCGAAGACTGGCGTATGCTTCTTCTTCACCGGGGCAAGAGCCATTACAGCAAAAGAAGAATGCATTTTCTAAGTGGAATCATCAGTTCTAAAAAAATATGTATTTTGAGTCAAAACACAGAGAATTATATCATGATTTCAATAAAATTGTTAAATTTATAAGGATTATTGATGTTTTTTATTTATATATCTCAAAGTAACATAAAATAGCCATTTAGAAAAAGAGAATGCAGAGGAATATTGATGTGAAAAATTTCCGGGATGTTAAAAAATGCGCATGTATGTCTTATATTTATGTCAAATAATATACTACTCGAAATAAAAGTTGAGTATAATTTGTATTGCAAATACATAACACAACACACAATACTTCAATCATAGAGCATAGGTTTGAGTAATATGTTATTTTTAGTAATATGTTATTTTATACACTTTTTGCAGATAAAATCACAAGCTACCGGGGGTTTTCAAGCATTTATTATCCATTATCGAGAAGATCCCGATCAGCAGAATCTCATCGATTGGATCCAAGAAGATTGGGCAAGTTGATCGAAATTAATAGTACCAGAATTGACACATGTTATTTCTTATTCAAGGATTAACTTAGTGTGATTTCGATATACGCAGTTTTTTGCATGCGAGAGAACTTGTCAACATATATTATATAACATATATACCGAGCAACATATATTTTCAACTTGAATATATACATATCAGCGACCGTAATAAGCTTACATATGAATATAAAGCAAATTACGCGCATTCAAAAATAATATGAAAAAATTATATTTACGCACAATACCAATAGATTACTAATAACAAGCTTGCGCAAGCTTTATCAAGTTTCTGCAGCACGAAAATCTAGTCCGGATTTGCTTTTGCGATCGCACGGCATCCAAATAATTCGTAATACAGTAGCATTCGACAATCGATATCTGGTCATCCAATTGTGGTTTATGAGATTTCAATAGAACCACCCTGATATTCCGCCGCAAGTTTGGTAATTCTATCAATAAAAGCTAGTCAAAGGTAAACCGCACACGCACTCTCGCGTTCTGCCACACGTTATTAGTTCTAGATCTAGCAAGAATTTCGATTTACAGCACTTTACGTGGACCGTCGACAATGCAATAGTGATTTACATCGTAAAGCCAAGTATCCGAAAAAAATTAATTTAATTGAATAAATTCATTATAGAAGTAACAGGATTTAGTTTATTCAAAAAAATAATAATAAAATAATAATAAGCTTATGCTACGCTTATATACATTATGTATCTATAAGCGATATTATGTATCTATAAGTATAATTATTATCGGATTTATCAATCGATATACGCGCATCAATTATTGCACGTTGTGAGTAGCAAACATTTCCAAACTGATTTGGTTACTGTCTAACGCGACAGACCACTGATGAATCCGCAAGCATCGAATTACCATCATATCGGTCGACTATTGACCACTCAACATTCTAACCTATCGTTATGCTGTCTTTTATAGAGAGATAGCGCACATGCATGTTTTAATGAAGAGAGAAAAATAAAATTTAAAAAAACAAAAACTATTCGTATAAATACACATACGTCATATATCTACTATATAATTATCTTTCCAATAAACGCCTGCAGAATAAACTGCCTTTGCACTTATAAGAATGCTATTAATAAACGACCATTGTAAATCAAATTCAATTACGATATACATTATATACATACAGAAACAATAAATAAAGCAGGAAACTGATAGATTTCTCAGTAAGGGTTGAAGCACAGACTTTTGCATAATACATAACGCATAAGACATAAGACATAAGAATTAGCCAATCAAGGCCTTCTAAAATAAGAAGTAGGGATAAAAATTGAAGGTTATATTGATTGATTCTCTTATGTTTTATGCGTTATGCGTTATGCAAAAGTCTGTACCCTAATGTTTCAAAAACCGTAAGTCACAAAAGTCTTGTGAATTTAGAATTCTGACAGTCGATTACGGCACGATTTGGAGAGCATGATGTTATAGAACTTATTAATCGATAATTTTGATCAATTGCGAGTTTACAAGAGTTTAATAGAAGTGCTCGACATATCGGCAATTTTAGTAATTCTATCAACCTCAGGAAAACATCGAGGTACTACCATATATCGCATTGTCTGTCATTGCATTAGAAGTTACTCGACATCATTTATAAGTGGTTAATGAAATGGGTAGTATTTTGGACTTTATGCAGTATCGAGTATATTACCATCGCCATTCTATCTTATTAATTGGTTTACTCGATGCAGTCGACGTTCTATAGTCTATATGATCAATATATAAGATGTATTAGAAAAAACATATATTTGTATGGAAACGGTCAGCAGGAAAAAACTATCTGCAAAAATCTTGAGTTAACTTTTACGTAAAAAACGTCATATTATTTGATATTATAATTTTGCGTAATAGTTTTTAACGCAAAACATATCTCAAATAAAAAATTAAATTAAGAAGTTATTACTTGCATGAAGATGTTTTTGAGATATTTGAAGAGGCATTTACTTTGTCATTCTTTAAACATATGGAAAATATAGAGAAATAAGAATAAAATTGTAATTGAATAGAAGTCAGTGACAAATTGTGTCACGAGCTCGTTGTCAATTTCTTTTGCTATAGACAACATTGGGCAAATAATAATTAAATCCAACAGAATCGGAAACTCGCATATTTCATATCTCTATAGTCAACGCATTCACATCTTGTATGAATATTCTGCGCAAAACTCGTCTTTTATATTATGAATGATTTGATTGGAATTGAAACGTTATAATTGCATGAATAATCAAAATACGTTGAAAACAAATTTAACAAAAACTAAAGTACGTAATCTAGTATTCGCCTGGTTACTTTTGGCTGTTTAATACAGAACTTTTTCTTTCCCTTCTTCTCCCTCCCCTTCTTCCTTATCTTTTTTAATGTATTATATATTATACATGTATACACAGTTTGTCCGGAAAGTTCCCGGACTGATTTTTTCTAGCGCGGGTAAGCGGCGCTATCGAGCGGTCAACGCTGGAACTACTTAG